GGGGTAGCAGTCCCAAGAGAACTGGAACCCTCCTGGCAGAGGAAAGAACACTCTGGACAGGAATCTCAAACATTTCCCAGCCAACTTCTGGATACCTCCATTTTTTGGATTGGCTGGGGCATGTTAATTATTCATACTGGTCATTTGACTCTCCCTACCCTATATTCTGGAAGCTTTTTCCAAAAGCAGGAGAGAGAAATCAAAAAACATTCAGCTAGGAAACCCTGACCGGACAAAAATAATCACTTGCTGCTCCACTGACTGCAGTGAAGCCAAAAACCAGAATTAGCCTAGCAGCCTGCAGTAAATAGGGAATGTTAAACCTAAAGCTCAACTCCAGGCTGCTTTGAAATGCACCAATGCATTGGGGTCCCATGGAACAGCATGGGTCAAATGCCAGTTTGGCTAGGGGGCAAAGAAATAGGTAGAACACTTACATTATTCCTTGCTACCCTCACTCTTTTCTGCTGCCACATGCTCTGGATTTTGGATGGGTCCTCACCATTCTCCCATACAATGCAGAACTGCTGGTCTTGCATTGTACGTGAAGATGTCAGAGAACTGTGATTGACCAGGCAGTGAAGTGAAGTGGCTCGCATGAAGAGGTGGAAGCCTACAGAAATGAGGAAAAGGGTAATATTTTTACTTACCACCTCCACCCTCCAGCCAAATGAGCATTTAATTTTTGCAGTGTGGGAAGGGGTCCCATTGCAAAGGTACATTTCAAAGCCCCGAGATAGGCTTTAATTAATTTGTATTTATTTGTTTTATAGCTCCACATTAAAATACTATGTACCAGAAACATTATTTTAGTGCTTTTATAAAAGGGATCAAACACAGAATAAAATGTGCTCTTTTGATGAATTAAAAGATACCATAGTTCCCAGGTGGAAGAAAGAATTTTGATAACGTAAATATTATCCTGGCTGTTTCATGGTGATCAAAGCTAAATCACACTAGTTTCACTACATCACAAAACTGTCACCATCCCGTTTAGAGATGAGCGAATCGAACATGGCGAAGTGGAATTCGTTTCAAAGATCAGGAAAAATTTGATTCGCACCGAATCCGAAAATTAGCAAACTTCGGATGCACGAATCGAATTTTCCCAAAAATGGCGGCGACATGTGTGGCGACGGAGCGGGGATCTCTGGGAAGGCGCGCAGACAAGGCGCGCTGACCCATAATGCATTCATTCATGACATGTGATCGCATTAGCCAATCAGCAGCCAGCCAGCCAGCACTGTGTAATGGTGGAGCTATAAATTGCGGCCATCTTACAATTCTCCATTAGCCTCCGGTCATTCAAGAGAGACAGACCTGTCTGTATTAGGGACAGAGTTAGGGCCAGAGAGACTTTAGGGCCACAGAATCGTTACTTAGGGACACAGAATCGTTACTCAGGGACACAGAATTGTTACTCAGGGACACAGAATTGTTACTCAGGGACAGACACAGAATTGTTACTCAGGGACACAGAATTGTTACTCGGGGACACAGAATTGTTACTGAGGGACACAGAATCGTTACTGAGGGACACAGAATTGTTACTCAGGGACACAGAATTGTTACTCAGGGACAGACACAGAATTGTTACTCAGGGACACAGAATTGTTACTCAGGGACACAGAATTGTTACTGAGGGACACAGAATTGTTACTCAGGGACACAGAATTGTTACTCAGGGACAGACACAGAATTGTTACTCAGGGGGACACAGAATTGTTACTCAGGGACACAGAATTGTTACTGAGGGACACAGAATCGTTACTCAGGGACACAGAATTGTTACTCAGGGACACAGAATTGTTACTCAAGGACACAGAATTGTTACTGAGGGACACAGAATTGTTACTGAGGGACACAGAATTGTTACTCAGGGACACAGAATTGTTACTCAGGGACACAGAATTGGAATTGTTACTCAGGGACAGACACAGAATTGTTACTCAGGGACACAGAATTGTTACTCAGGGACACAGAATTGTTTACTGAGGGACACAGAATCGTTACTGAGGGACACAGAATTGTTACTGAGGGACACAGAATTGTTACTCAGGGACAGACACAGAATTGTTACTCAGGGGACACAGAATTGTTACTCAGGGACACAGAATTGTTACTGAGGGACACACAGAATTGTTACTCAGGGACACAGAATTGTTACTCAGGGACACACAGAATTGTTACTCAGGGACACAGAATTGTTACTCAGGGACACAGAATTGTTACTCAGGGACACAGAATCGTTACTCAGGGACACAGAATTGTTACTCAGGGACACAGAATTGTTACTCAGGGACACAGAAATCGTTACTCAGGGACACAGAATCGTTACTCAGGGACACAGAATTGTTACTCAGGGACACAGAATTGTTACTCAGGGACACAGAATTGTTACTCAGGGACACAGAATTGTTACTCAGGGACACAGAATTGTTACTCAGGGACACAGAATTGTTACTGAGGGACACAGAATTGTTACTGAGGGACACAGAATCGTTACTCAGGGACACAGACATGTTGTTACTCAGGGACACAGAATTGTTACTCAGGGACACAGAATTGTTACTGAGGGACACAGAATCGTTACTCAGGGACACAGAATTGTTACTCAGGGACACAGAATCGTTACTGAGGGACACAGAATCGTTACTCAGGGACACAGAATTGTTACTCAGGGACACAGAATTGTTACTCAGGGACACAGAATCGTTACTGAGGGACACAGAATGAATCGTTACTCAGGGACACACAGACACAGAATTGTTACTCAGGTGGGACACACAGAATTGTTACTCAGGGACACAGAATCGTTACTCAGGGACACAGAATCGTTACTCAGGGACACAGAATTGTTACTCAGGGGACACAGAATTGTTACTCAGGGACACAGAATCGTTACTCAGGGACACAGAATCGTTGAATTAACAGAGTATGTCACAACACGCAGAGGAGTGGCAGAGGAGGCAATGTTTCAGGAGCGAGCAGGACGGCTGGCACAGAGAGACGTGGCAGCAGAGGAAGGGGTCGAGGCAGCACTAGTCGCAGCCAGAGGCCAGTGCTCCCGGTGTCATCCAGTGGTCGTGTCTCCACCGACAACCCTGCCGTCATCGATTGGTTGGCTCGGTCGTCTTCCTCTTCCCAGGTCACCTCTGACACCTACAGCCAACGGTCGGTGGGTACGTCAGACACAACCGTTAGTTGGCATGGCCCGGGAGCAAGCCCACTGAAATCACGTGTCCCTCTACCTGCCCCTGTCCTTTGGTGTTCCCTCACCAAGCGAAGTATCGCATGCTGTGGGCTCAGCCCCACTGTACAGTGAGGAAGAGCTAACAGAGGGCGGTCAGGAACGGGGGGAGACATCCGCCTCTTCAGCAGCCAGGCGAAGAAGTTACTGGCGAGGAGAGTGGCTCAGTAGCCGGTCTAGAGACAGGTCTGTCTCCTGACCCACACGCAGCCGAGGGGGCTAGTAGTGAGGCGGAGACCCCTAATTTGATGAAGATGAGGCTGATCGCACTTGGCAGCCTCGTCGTCATCTGCCAGGCCCGTAATCTGCCATGGGCCCCCAGTACCGACTCCTCATGCTGCTGCCAGGCCCGTAATCTGTCATGGGCCCCTGTACCGCTCCTCATGCTGCTGCCAGGTCCAGAGTGTGTCATGGGTCCCTGTACGGCCTCCCATTGCTGCTGTCTCCATCGCCACACTCTGCCATGTGCCACTTTCAGGTCTCCTCACACTGCTGGTGGGTTCCATTTTGTCATAGGGTGCTGGCAGATTACGGGCCTCCCATTGCTGCTGCCAGGCCCGTAATCTGTCATGGGCCCCTGTACCGCCTCCTCATGCTGCTGCCAGGTCCAGAGTGTGTCATGGGTCCCTGTACGGCCTCCCATTGCTGCTGTCTCCATCGCCACACTCTGCCATGTGCCACTTTCAGGTCTCCTCACACTGCTGGTGGGTTCCATTTTGTCATAGGGTGCTGGCAGATTACGGGCCTCCCATTGCTGCTGCCAGGCCCGTAATCTGCCATGGGCCCCCGTACCGACTCCTCATGCTGCTGCCAGGCCCGTAATCTGTCATGGGCCCTGTACCGCCTCCTCATGCTGCTGCCCAGGTCCAGAGTGTGTCATGGGTCCCTGTACGGCCTCCCATTGCTGCTGCCAGGCCCGTAATCTGCCATGGGCCCCCGTTACCGACTCCTCATGCTGCTGCCAGGCCCGAAATCTGTCATGGGCCCCTGTACCGCCTCCTCATGCTGCTGCCAGGTCCAGAGTGTGTCATGGGTCCCTGTACGGCCTCCCATTGCTGCTGTCTCCATCGCCACACTCTGCCATGTGCCACTTTCAGGTCTCCTCACACTGCTGGTGGGTTCCATTTTGTCATAGGGTGCTGGCAGATTACGGGCCTCCCATAATGCTGCTGCCAGGGGCCCGTAATCTGTCATGGGCCCCTGTACCGCCTCCTCATGCTGCTGCCAGGTCCAGAGTGTGTCATGGGTCCCTGTACGGCCTCCCATTGCTGCTGTCTCCATCGCCACACTCTGCCATGTGCCACTTTCAGGTCTCCTCACACTGCTGGTGGGTTCCATTTTGTCATAGGGTGCTGGCAGATTACGGGCCTCCCATTGCTGCTGCCAGGCCCGTAATCTGCCATGGGCCCCGTACCGACTCCTCATGCTGCTGCCAGGCCCGTAATCTGTCATGGGCTCCTGTACCGCCTCCTCATGCTGCTGCCAGGTCCAAGAGTGTGTCATGGGTCCCTGTACGGCCTCCCATTGCTGCTGCCAGGCCCGTAATCTGCCATGGGCCCCCCGTACCGACTCCTCATGCTGCTGCCAGGCCCGTAATCTGTCATGGGCCCCTGTACCGCCTCCTCATGCTGCTGCCAGGTCCAAGAGTGTGTCATGGGTCCCTGTACGGCCTCCCATTGCTGCTGCCAGGCCCGTAATCTCTGGGCCCCCGTACCGACTCCTCATGCTGCTGCCAGGCCCGTAATCTGTCATGGGCCCCTGTACCGCCTCCTCATGCTGCTGCCAGGTCCAGAGTGTGTCATGGGTCCCTGTACGGCCTCCCATTGCTGCTGTCTCCATCGCCACACTCTGCCATGTGCCACTTTCAGGTCTCCTCACACTGCTGGTGGGTTCCATTTTGTCATAGGGTGCCCAGTTACGGGCCTCCCATTGCTGCTGCCAGGTCCGTAATCTGCCATGGGCCCCCGTACCGACTCCTCATGCTGCTGCCAGGCCCGTACTCTGTCATGGGCCCCTGTACCGCCTCCTCATGCTGCTGCCAGGTCCAGAGTGTGTCATGGGTCCCTGTACGGACTCCCATTGCTGCTGTCCATGCCCGTAATCTGCCATGGGCCCCCGTACCGACTCCTCATGCTGCTGCCAGGCCCTAATCTGTCATGGGCCCCCCCGTACCGACTCCTCATGCTGCTGCCAGGCCCGTAATCTGTCATGGGCCCCCTTGTACCGCCTCCTCATGCTGCTGCCAGGTCCAGAGTGTGTCATGGGTCCCTGTACGGCCTCCCATTGCTGCTGTCTCCATCGCCACACTCTGCCATGTGCCACTTTCAGGTCTCCTCCACACTGCTGGTGGGTTCCATTTTTTGTCATAGGGTGCTGTAGGATTAGTACGGCCTCCCATTGCTGCTGCCAGGCCCGTAATCTGCCATGGGCCCCCGTACCGACTCCTCATGCTGCTGCCAGGCCCGTAATCTGTCATGGGCCCCTGTACCGCCCCTCATGCTGCTGCCAGGTCCAGAGTGTGTCATGGGTCCCTGTACGGCCTCCCATTGCTGCTGTCTCCATCGCCACACTCTGCCATGTGCCACTTTCAGGTCTCCTCACACTGCTGGTGGGTTCCATTTTGTCATAGGGTGCTGGCAGAATTACGGGCCTCCCATTGCTGCTGCCAGGCCCGTAATCTGCCATGGGCCCCCGTACCGACGACTCCCTCATGCTGCTGCCAGGTCCGTAAGTGTGTCATGGGTCCCTGTACGGCCTCCCATTGCCTGTCTCATCGCCACACTCTGCCATGTGCCAGGTCTCCTCACACTGCTGGTGGGTGTCCATTTTGTCATGGGTGCCAATGGCAGATTACGGGCCTCCCATTGCTGCTGCCAGGCCCGTAATCTGCCATGGGCCCCCGTACCGACTCCTCATGCTGCTGCCAGGCCCGTAATCTGTCATGGGCCCCTGTACCGCCTCCTCATGCTGCTGCCAGGTCCAGAGTGTGTCATGGGTCCCTGTACGGCCTCCCATTGCTGCTGTCTCCATCGCCACACTCTGCCATGGGCCCTTTCAGGTCTCCTCACACTGCTGGTGGCCCCCATTTTGTCATGGGTGCTGTACCGCCCATTCCTCCCATTGCTGCTGCCAGGACCCAGTAGTGCCATGTCATGGGCCCCCCTGTACGGCCTGCCCCATTGCTGCTGTCCAGGCCATCGCCACGCACTCTGCCATGTGCCACTTTCAGGTCTCCTCACACTGCTGGTGGGTTTTCCATTTTTGTCATAGGGTGCTGGCAGATGTACGGGCATCCTCCCATTGCTGCTGCCAGGCCCGTAATCTGCCATGGGCCCCCGTACCGACTCCTCATGCTGCTGCCAGGCCCGTAATCTGTCATGGGCCCCCTGTACCGCCCTCCTCATGCTGCTGCCAGGTCCAGTAGTGTGTCATGGGTCCCTGTACGGCCTCCCATTGCTGCTGTCTCCCATCGCCAATCTGCCATGTGCCACTTTCAGGTCTCCTCACACTGCTGGTGGGTTCCATTTTGTCATAGGGTGCTGTATGGGCCTCCCATTGCTGCTGCCAGGCCCGTAAATCCTGCCACACTGCTGGGCCCCCGTACCGACTCCTCATGCTGCTGCCAGGCCCGTAATCTGTCATGGGCCCCCTGTACCGCCTCCTCCCGCCTCCCCATGCTGCTGCCAGGTCCAGAGTGTGTCATGGGTCCCTGTACGGCCTCCCATTGCTGCTGTCTCCATCGCCACACTCTGCCATGTGCCACTTTCAGGTCTCCTCACACTGCTGGTGGGTTCCATTTTGTCATAGGGTGCTGGCAGATTACGGGCTCTCCCATTGCTGCTGCCAGGCCCGTAATCTGCCATGGGCCCCCGTACCGACTCCTCATGCTGCTGCCAGGCCCGTAATCTGTCATGGGCCCCTGTACTGCCTCCTCATGCTGCTGGCCAGGTCCAGAGTGTGTCATGGGTCCCTGTACGGCCTCCCATTGCTGCTGTCTCCATCGCCACACTCTGCCATGTGCCACTTTCAGGTCTCCTCACACTGCTGGTGGGTTCCATTTTTTCATAGGGTGCTGTATGGCCTCCCATTGCTGCTGCTCCCCGCCACACTGATTCTGGCACCACACTCTGTAATCTTTCCCCATTGTGACTACTGAACCAGAAATGAGTGAAATAATGTTGGTAAGATATAACGCTTCGACTCGAATCGAATTTATTCCGCGAATTCGCCGAATCAGCCGAATCGAATTTTTGAATAATTCGCTCATCTCTAATCCCGTTCAATTTTCCAAGTACCAGAAGGTGGTAATCTTAGGGCTGTGCTATAATACAGAACACAGAGTTACACTGCTTGCTGCAATATGACATTGTTTTTTAAGAGCCCTGTTTTTGTGTCATCTGAGGACAAGGGTTTTTTTACTAATTACAAGAAAGTCGTTATGAGTAATATTTTCTCTATCCAATCCAAACAATATAAATGTCAACTGAAATATATTTTAGATGGTCATAAAAAAAAAAGTCCTTTAATATTTGGTTTATTAATTAAGCAGGCCTGAGAAAAGAAATCATTATTGTTTTATTGCAGTTTTATTGCAGCTCAAGTAGTTAAGAACTTTCAGAAAGGTTGTGCAGCAAACAGTAATCATGTAAAACAATGGCAATGTAACAACCAATGCAATTTCACCTCTCATTAGTTTAGAACAGTGAGAACAATGAAAGCATGCTGCTGACTGGTTAAATAGATCACTGTTATTTTGCTAGTTGTTACTTGTTTTATTAAAGGGGAAGTCAAGTACTAGTTATTCTGAAAAATTTTACATTCCCCTTCCTCATATCTACCCTGCCTGCTCTGTGTAAAAAAGATCTGTATACTTAGCTTTTTTTCGGTCAGCTCCAGTGCAATCATGTAATCCTGCAGCTACAGCTCCCACAAAGCGCTCAACTATGGCCAGGAATTCAATTTGCATTGATATCACCCATAGACTTATATGGCATAGCCATTGCCAGCACTTCCTCCTCTTCCCTGCAGCAGCCACTCACTGACGCAGGAAAGACGGAGCTACTGGATCACGTGAGTGTGACAGTGTGAGGAAAGTGCAGCCGATAACCGGCAACTGCATTTACCGGTGATCCGCTGTGTCATTGGACACGGCTGATCATGTGGTAAAAGGCAGCTGTGATTGGCCTTTTCCGTAGGACACAGCGATCATGGAGATCACTGGGTGTGCGCCCCCAGGGGCGCGTGGGAGGACGCGTTCTGGGAGGACGTCATATGACGCCCTCCCAGAACTGGCTGGTCGCAGTGAAGCCGTCATTTGGCTATCTGCGGTCGGCAACTGGTTAAATAAGCCAGCCTTAATGTGAATGTGGTGCACATTATGCTCAGCATTATGGCTTACAATGACATGGAACTTGCTTTGGCTTGGGTAGTATGACATGCTAGATAATAAATGATTAGCAGCAGGAAGGATACAGACTACTGACAGCTGCATTTTTTAACCCCCCCCATAACCAGTGATCATTGAAACCTACAGTAGATGCACAGGCAAAAATATAGCAGCATTAGAGTACATCAGTTACCTTGACTAACTATTACTACTTTGCCTACTAAAATATATATATATACTGTATATACACAGCGCAGGGCTGTCATGTTTCACATGACTGTCATATTGACTGTCATATGCCTTTAAGTGTTCTCTATATTTTGTCTCTGCTCCTCCATTTCCTTTGGTTTAGTTAATGCTGTATAGATATCCCACCCTTTTCCCTAGAAATGCATTGCAGCTCTAGCCTCATGTCATGAAGCAGGACACATTATGATCTTTTGACCTATCAGATGTTCATTGTTGTAAGATTCTCTCAGTTTATGGAATAAACTTCACAAGATCTACAAGATATCATCTCGATTGAGTCACTGACTGTGGTATCCAACTGAGATTGGAGTTATCGTTATCTCATCACAACTGTAAGTTACAGAGATCACACTTTCAATGCTTAGATTGGAGAGACAGAACAAGGGCAGGCCCTGCCACTATGTAAAAAGAGGTAAATGGCACAAAGGGTACTAGAGAGGCATATTGAGGGGCTCCAGAATGGCTGTTATGAGCAGAGAAATTTTTTTTTTCTCTGGGATTTGTGATTCCAGGATTGGGTTCTGGAGTCCAAAGGCTTTAAAAGAGTCTTGGGAAGGCTGAAGCCTCTAACTCTGTGTCCAGGTCTTACTGGAGACCAGCGAGCTGTGTGTGCAGGGGTGCATCAAGGGGCTGATAGTAGTTTGGGGCATCACCTGGAAGACAGGAGGTCCCTACCCAGAGTTGCGTGCGTGGGCAAGACCAGCACTGAACTGCATAAGAGAGATGCAAAGTTGCATGTGAGCAGAATGGGCCTGAGAGACCTAGGCCTAGTTTTGAGGCCTGAGCAGCGATACTGCAAGAGGAAGCCGGGAGGCTTGATGTAATTTTTCTTTGTGTTTGAAGTGATGGTGGAAACTGCTTTTGAACTTTTACTTCCTTTTTTAAATAAAAGTGGGCCAACAAGCCAACAGTATTTTCTGGTTGGACTGAACTCACTGGAAAGCACTACACTGGAGTGAAACCCCTGAAATATCACAATATACACAGTATATTGTGACAGTAAGAGGCCCTGTCACTGTAAAAGTAGGCAAACATTGCACAGGGTTCTCATGAATGCATCGTGAAGGGCTCCAGAGTGTCTGTATTGATAGCAATCAGCAGCTGTCATGTTTTAAAGTGATGGTGGAAACCCCTGCTAGAGTCACCTTTCATTCTGTGGAACTTTTTTATTCTCTCCTTTAAATGAAAGTGGGCCAACAAGCCCTAAACAGTATTTTCTGGCTGAAGTGAACTCACTGGAGACATACTACACCGTGAGCAAAATACCCACACATATAAGTGGCGCTCGGATGGGGGCAAGACCAGTGGTGTATTTAGGTTTCGTGCTGCCCTAGGCAACACAAAAATCCCCCTCTCCCCACAGAGAGGCCCTGACACCGACCAACACCCCCCTCCCCCACGAAGAGTGCCTGACATTGACCAACAACACCCCGCGCCCCCCCCTCACCCACACCAGAGATAGCCTTCCACTACCACCACCCCCCATACACTGGCAACCCCTGCCCCACCCCAGCGAGAGAGAAGACACTCACCTTCACAGCTCTGGACATCCTTGGGAACAAGAGTCAGGCTCTGCATACACCATCAAGCAGCCTGCAGCCTCTCTCGAGTCCCATCTGGTCCCCATGCTGTGTGCGTCTTTTCTTCCATCCCTTCTTTAGGGGAGCGGCACTGCCCCCCTGAAAGATGCCGCTGCCCCCCTGAAAGATGCCGTCCTAGCAAACGCCTTGTTTGCCTTGTGATAAATA